CATGGTTGGTCGGGAAAAGCACACCTAAAATGGAGACCCTTGTTACATTATGTAAATGTTATCCCATCTACCTAATTTTGTATCTTTTGGTTGAGAAAATGGATGCCTTGCTTCTGTCGAGTTTTTCTTTTTATTATTATACTCCTCAGTTTTTTTTTACTCTACAGTGTCTTAATATATAGTCCAGGTAAAGACAATAGATTTTACCAAGAAAAAAAATGGGTAGAAAATCTATCTTATGTTAGTTACGTTTCTTCATGCTTTCATGATAATATATACATGATCTCATAAATATCTCGAAAAATAACTATCAAATTTCTTCTATAATTATAGGCCAAAGAATTTGGTTTTTTGTTATTTTCATTTATTGTTGTCAACTATTATATGCTAAGATTGATAGAGAATGAGGGTATGTAAAATGTAGCTATATGTCTCAAAATAAAAAGCAGCGATAGATAATAATATGAACCGTCAATAGCACAGTTGAAATACTGGAGAATCTATTTTTATGTCCTGTTGAAAATATCATTAACTAACCACTATATAAAGAAAGGAATGTATGCAAGAGTATATGTGCAAATGGAATTATAAGTACTCGTAGCTGATATTACTATTAATACCGTCGGAAATTTATCTATATGGGCTGTAACGATTAGCAAATACGAAAGGGTAACATAAATCAAAGTGGAACTGGTCTAAGTTTGGAAGTTCTAAACATAATTGAAGCGAGGAAACCACCAACTTGTTGTATTTACATATTAAAAAATAATTTTGTTCCACAAACATATAGAATCAGCGAAGTCTCTTTCAAATAACAGCTTCAACCAAAAGAGTATAAAATTAAAATCAAATACTGAAACTATTTAACAAAACTAAATGATAAGGATATATATATCCGTAAACTAATTAGCTCTCATACGAAAAGGACTTTGAACTAACTAAAATGGTTTTATTCACAATACTATAATGTTTTAAAAGTAGTTTATTTTGGACGGCTTTGATATATAATAATATAAACAATCTAGTATGTATGACACAATCACAGGATAAGTAAAAATGACATTGTAAAACTACACAGTACTTTCTATCACTTAATCAACGTAATAACTGGACATAGAGGATAATTCTGTATATATATATATATATATATATATGTAATCTTCCTTGGATTACCATATATAAATGCAGCTTATAACACTAAGCATGTGGTTCTCACACTAAGCATGAGGTCCTCGAGACCATAACAAGGAATCTCTTTTAAAATGTTACTTCAAATCTCTGAACGATCATAATTAAACATTTTCTATCAGCAGCTTCTATATGAAACTATTAGTATTTTTTTTGTTGTTACAGATTACAAATAGATTGTCTTATTAAACTCTTTAAATTTGATGATTGAATATAATTTACCTTGTAGACATTTTATATCCGTCACGATTTTTCCAGCCTTCTATTGTCAAAATAACCAAACCTTCAAATAAAAAATCAACTTTTTTATATTTTATTGAAGATCCGGAAAACAATAAATGGATGTGAATATTTATTAACATCGATGAGGAAGAAGACAAAATACTAAAAAGAGGTTAAGAAGTATTCCATAAATGGAGACACGTGCTGTAAAATAACACTAGCTAGTATCTCTTTTCTGTAATTAAAACGTTGCTTCTTTTACCCGCGCGCGAAGTTCATGGATCAATCCTTAAAACAAAATTTACTTTTGTTTGTAATAAAATATCATTAAAATGGACAAAAGAAATACTAATAGCAGAGATAGAGAGAGAGAGAGAGAGAGAATTAAACGGGTAAGAAGAAGAAGAAGACTTGGGAGAAAGGATCCGAAGAAAACGGATTACTTAAGAACCAGTGATGTTCGGTTCTTAATTTTCTCTTAACACCTCTCTCTCTCTCTCTCTGTCTTTTATTTATAGTAAGAGATTAAGAATTTGTACTTTTTTTATTGACACGAAAAGACAGAGAAACAGAGATAGGCAGACAGAGAAGAGAAAAGACGAACAGAGGATTTTTCAAAGATCCTCTTCTTCCTCTGTTCTTCACCTTCTTCTCCCTGGTTAGTTTCCTTGATTTAAAATGAGAGAAAGTTTTAATCCTTTTTTTAAATGGGTTTAAATTATTGTCTCTTCTCTATAATGGGTCTGAAGTAATTTCACGTTTATGCTTAGAAATGATTTATTGATCTCAAAAACAATGCTTAACTATGTGTTTTCAAGATTTGCTTACCTTCCACGTTTCAACTTTCAAATGCTGCATTTTTGGGGTTTGATGTCAAATATGGTTTAAGTCATCATGCTAATTAAAAGGATTATGAATGTTGATTTGAGTCTTTTTTTTTCCTCTTTTTTTGAAGGTCTTGAAGTTACATGAATCAACATCCTATTGTTATGAACGTTGATTCATTCTCTTATGTCTTCATAAGCTCTTTCAGCTGACCTCTCTCAAAGATTTAAAAAGGTAAAAATATTCCATCTTTTGCATTTGATGTTGAATTCAGACAAAGATCATATTTATTTTGTACGTATGGTGGTTTTATTCGTTTCCTTATGTCTTGATTGTTTTGAACAGGTTCTTTGATTTGTTGGAGCTATTAGCTGGTGAATGTAGTATAAACCTTTCAAAAACAAAAAACAAAAATGGGTGGCTGCGTTTCTTCACAGAGAAAACTCAGCAACAAGCTTCAACAGAAGAAGCATAAACATGGTGGCAGATCTGCACAATGCCGGTCGAGAATCTCGGCTTCGATGCCAGATGTTCCTATGAAACGCATGAGCAATGCTAGCGTCAGGGATTTTGTTCATCTTGATTTCGAAAATGGTGCCGCCAAGATGATGTGTAAGAGAGCTGAGATGTCTAATGCTAACTTCCATATGACACAACTTCAATGGAACTGCAGCCAAATTGATGGAAACCGTAAGAACATCTTTCAAGATCTTGAAATCTGTTTTTACCAGTGTTCCAAAAATCGGTTTAGGCGCTTACTAATCAATAATCTCCTATAAAACGTCTAACTCCCGCCTAACGATTTTTTGAACATTGTTTTTTTTTAATTGAATCTGATTGGTGTTTTTATATATGTCCAGGAATATCACATGAGGAAGCTTGGTATGATTCCTTTAGTTACATTGACTCTGATTCTGATGATGGATCAAATAACAGTGTTTTCGAAGGTAAAACATCAAAGCTTTTGATAAAATCTAAGATATTATTATTAGTTTGTGAATTATTAACATTATATATTTCTTGCAGATGCAAATACTTCTGCAATGGGACAAGTGATTCAGTATGAAGAATTCTACGGAAGTTACCTGACAATAGATGGTAACAAAGCTGAGACTTACTCAAGCAAGAATGAAGTTAGCATAAAAAGAAACCAAGTGGCTGATGAATCTCATCATGAAACTTACAAGACTACTACTTGTGAAGATCATCAAGATCACAGGAAGACATCATCAAAAGTTGTTATGGTTTCTGTGCGAAGAACATCTATTGATAGCAAATCACCAGCACCTGAAAAGCTCTTGTACCGACCAAAAGCAGGTTCTGTGATTCAACGTTCTTTGGGAGAGATACTGACAAATCAAGGAAGCTGGTCAGAACTTTCTCCATCTTATTTCAAGCTCCGTGGATTGAACTTCTTCAGGTTAGGATTCAAATTTAGTAAACTCAGACACTTGTGTTGTTACCAATCTAACTGTATTGTTTTGTTTGTATCATTTTGCAGAGACAAACAAAAGAGTCCAGCACCAGATTGTAGTCCTTACACACCACTTGGAGTCGATCTTTTCGCGTGTCCTAAGAAGATAAACCACATTGCTCAGCACATTGAGCTCCCTAACTTGAAACCTGCTTCATCACAAGCCTCTGATATCCCTAATCTATTGATTGTGAACATCCAGCTTCCAATGTATCCAACCTCCATGTTTGGTGAATATGATGGTGAAGGACTTAGCTTAGTCTTATACTTCAAACTGAATGAGAATTTTCACAAAGAAGTATCATCTCACTTTCAAGAAACCATCAAGGTATTATAATGATGACTGTATTCAATCTCTTTTTGTTTTTGGTTTATACAAAGAGAGGTTCTAAAGATTTTTTTTGCAGAGGTTTATGGATGATGAGATGGAGAAAGTCAAAGGATTCACAAGAGAATCAACAGTTCCATTCAGAGAGAGGTTGAAGATCATGGCTGGTTTGGTGAATCCTGAGGATCTTCAGTTATATTCTACCGAGAGAAAACTTATAACAGCTTACAATGATAAACCTGTTCTTTCTCGTCCGCAACATGATTTCTTTAAGGTTATATTATAAGATCTTTCTTTTAGTTTTCAATATATATCTTAGAGATATCATTTTGCTAGCTTTGTGCTAATGTTATGTGTTGATCATTTGGCCACAGGGACCAAACTACTTTGAGATCGACTTGGACATACACAGGTTCAGTTATATTTCGAGGAAAGGACTTGAATCTTTCAGAGATAGGATCAAGAATGGGATCCTTGATCTTGGTTTAACCATTCAGGTACTTGAAACAATCTCCAAAAGCCTTTGGTTAGGAGTTGTTGCTTAAGTAAACCCTTTTTGTTCTTTTTTGTATGACACACAGGCTCAATCACCAGAGGAACTTCCAGAACAAGTACTGTGTTGTGTCAGGCTGAACAAGATTGATTTCGTGAATCACGGACAGATTCCAACGCTTTTAACTAACAAACAATGATGAGTTTCCAAAGAAGAAAAAAGGATTTTATCAATCAATCAATGGGGGGAAGCAAAGAGACAAAAGCAAAATCAGAGAACCTTTTCATGTATTTGTATTGAAAAGACAAAAGCAGAAAAGAAAAAGGAAAAAAAAAATCAATGTCTTTTGGTGGAAATCATAGAAACAAAGATTTCCTCCAGAAATTTATTAAAATCCTATTAAAACTATTCATTTCTACAATGAATTTCTCTAAGCAAAGACTATGAGAGACCAACAAAAGAGAGCAAGTCTGGGTTAATAATGCAATACCATAAAAATAAACAAACAAAATATTACAACAGATAAATTCATCCACATAATGTTATAATCTATCCTCTGAAACAATAACACAATCCCTTCCCACCTGTAGTTTTCTTCCTCATGTACAAAAGAATCCACATAAGTAAAACAAACATCTTAAGAACCTACAAAGCTTTAAGGTTTACAACCCTTCCTGAAGAACTCCTCCTTTCCTGTAAACTGCTAGATTTCTCAGACAAGTGTATATAGTTTTACCTGTTCAACTTCACCAAAAGATTCCATCAAAGTTGAAACCTCTGTCATGAAAAGAAGATCAGAGTGGAATTTGAGTTGATAGAGAGATATACAGAGTTTTTCTTCTCTTAAATTATTTGCTCTTCTTTCAGCCTTAGGCGTGCAACAGGCTGCTGCTGCTGTTGCTGTTGCTGATTTAAGTTGGCCAAACGATTTTCTGGCCTTAACTGTGCTGCTGCAGCAGCGGCATGGCTGCTTGATTTAGCTGCTGGAGGGTCATGGTTATGTTTTCCTTCATATGTTGTTACTACAGCTTTAGGATCTGTTGCTGCTCTTTCCACATGTTTCCTTACTCCACATCCCTGTGTTGTGCACTTGTAGTAACTCCTGTGGATCAATTAAAGAGAGTATTAACAAGAATGTTTTAGAAAATAAACTAATGTTTCATGTATTACCTTGGATAAGGATTCCCTTTGACGACTTTCTGTCCATATTTACGCCACCTATATCCATCATCTAATAAATCAACTTCACTTGTCGTTTGGACAATGATTCTAGGCTCTGTCACAGTTCTATGTGAAGCAGCAACAGCAGCAGATGGTTCTGAAACTCGAACTTCTGTACTTCTGCACATTCAAATATCTCTTCTCTCATCAGAAACCAAAAAATGAATTATCAATCATCATCAAAGCTTGTAACTATACCTTCTCTTGGGATCAGGCTCGTCTTCAACTTTCTTCTTCACACCAGTTTCTCCATTACCAACTTCTTCACTGTCACTTGCCTCAGACATTTGCTCTGTTGTAGCTTGACTTGCTGCTTCATGTTGTTCCCTCGTGGTTTTATTACTGGTTTGAAACTGTGATGCCGAACTCCCATTTAGATTAGCTGTGCTATCTCTGTTGTTGCCTCGCTTAGTGTTTTGAGGAGGTTCATGATTGTGCTGACCTTTGTAGATAATCTCCGTTACTTGTCCATCAAGAGATCTCTCAACCTTCTTCTTGACAGGACATCCAGGATTCGTGCACTTGTAATAGCTTCTAGGAAACTCGCTGCCTTTAACTTGCTTTTGCCCATACTTTCTCCAGTTATAGCCATCATCAGCTGGTTTGTCAACGTTTAGAGGCTGCTGTGACCTGTGCTCAACGATGGTCATATCTGAGGTTTCTCTTGGAGCTGAAGAATTCGGAGCTGTGGTCGGGTTCTGAGGTTGACCTGACGAAAATGATTGAACCTGAGAGGAAGGAGGGTACTCGGTTTGTGGTTGCATATTATTAGCATTGGCTTGAACTGCTTGTGCTGTGACTTGTGCTAGAGCTTGCTGATGTGTCATTTCATATGATCCCTGCACATTTATTACATTTCCGGTTATAGAAACAACATGAAAAACAAATCCCAGCACACATCAGAAACCTTCAAATAGGTTCAGAGCCAAAACAAAGGAGAAGCAGATTAATGAAACCAGCTAGTTACCCTGAGTCAGAAACCTAAATCACCCTACTAAAAGAGAATAGAATATAGTACAGGCCTTTCTCAAGAAACCATTTCGACCTAAGAAAACATATTGTTCTAAAATCAAAAGCATATCATCATGTTATAAGAACCTTTGGTTCCTTGAAAGTTAATCAGTTGAGCTGCAAAGTGCCTTTCCTCCAGGAGAAACTCCCCAAATGGTTATAATAAAACCCCAATTCAAGCTCTAATCTGTTTTCTTTTCTCCAATTTTGACCTAAAGATGTTTTGAATTTTTTTTTTCAACCCTATCTCCTAACCAAATGGTTACAACAATTTTATGATCTGCTGGAATTTGAATCAACCTAGATTTACTAACAAAAAAAGTGGTTCTTTAATCAGCAAACCAACCAAACGAAAAAAAAACAAGAAACAGCTCAATACAGAAAGCCCTAAACTTTAAGTTTCCATAAATAGATTTTTAAATTTTTAACCCCAAAAAATAAAAGATACAAACTTGTTGATTGATAAAATCTTTAAAACCTGAATGGGAGAGAAAAGACCCAAGAAGCTCGGTGAATCAAGCCGCATCGCCGGACTTAGCCCTGGCGTTCCGGTGAACATCGTCGACGCCGACGGAGACTGAGAAATCATCAAACCGGTGGGTCTACTCTGCTTGAATCTCGGGTCAACTTCACCACCACTCGAGCTATTATTATTATTCCCATCTTCACTAGCTGCCGCCGTAGATGGAGGAGCTGGAGAAGGCATGACACCGGAAAGGAGCTGAGAGAAAGACCTAAACTCATCGGAATCGGGAAACATGTTTGAGACAAGAGTCATCGGACCAGGGCTGAATCCAACTCCACCGTTAAAGAACATCTCACTAAAGGGTCGTGGAGGGAGAGATAAAGTCGGTCGCGACGGAGCTCCGGTGGACTTTGAAGTCGACGGAAGTTCTTCCTTTTCCGACATCGATCGAAAGAAGAAAAGAGACACAACAACCCAATAATGAAAACAAAACAAAAAGGTTCTTTTTTTTTTTCTCTTAATCTTAAATATCCTTTTTGTATATATCTGTCTGTGTGAATCCGTGTCGTGTTTCACTTCGCTTTTTTGCCGTTTTATTATTAACTTGTAGATATATGAGTATTTTAATGGAGATTTCTAGTTTTTTATTTTCTGTTCCATAAAAACAGATCTGGAAACATAAAAGGATTAAAAAGCTTGTCTTCTTGCAGTATATAGAAAATAAAGAGTTCACGATGCAGAAATGAATAACACGTTTCGAAATGTATGTTCAGAAATTCCACTTTTTATTCCAAAAAAAAAAAAATTAAATAGGAACTAGGATGCATAAGAAAATTAAAACAAATGTCTTTAAGACATTTGTTTTAAAAGATTAATCCTAGTATATTCAACTGACATCATTAAGTTATAATCTTTTATGGTACGTGTACTAGAATTTAAAGTAATAATTTGAGAAATATTATTAGAAGAAATATGGAGTATTAACGTCAAGTCACCAGAAAGAAAAACAAATTTTTGTACCAGACTGATCTTATTTATTCGATTTCAGTTTAGGATTTTACCTTTACAAAAGCGTCGGTCTTGTAATTTGTACAATGAACTTGGAATGAAGAGGCAAGGGACAAGGCCACAGGTACTCCACGTTGTATGAACTGAATCCATAAATGACAGCTGACATTCTGTTTTTAAGGCCCATTTTCTATCTTAATGGGCCGTCGAATAAAAGCTTAATCATACATAGTGTTGCCAAAATAACTTAAACCAACTTTCCCAGCTACATAGCACGTATAAACATTGTACCAGTACCATACAAGATATCAGATTCAAAAGAAGCAATAGCTAAGCAAACCACTTATGGACTAGATTAATGGGCACAACAATGTAATAACCTTAAGAGCAATGCAATTAACCAGCAAACAATTTTATTCTCTTAATTAAAACCCCATAAAACTACCTAAAATCATATCAATCACAAGGATTCAAACACCTTCCTCATCTGTTCTTCAGCAGCAAGAATAGATTGAAACTGCTCAGTGTTAGCATTCATGCAGCTCACTAGCTTGGACATGTGCTCGCTAACTTGGCTGACGTATCTTCCTTGTTCTTCGTAGCTTCGTCTCACTACAATCTACGTAGGCAGTGAATGAGTCTTTACAGACACCTCCTTCCATAAAGGCGAATAACATCTCTGCTTCCTCCTCATTCACCTCTACGTCTTCTTTGCCTTCCACTAAATTGCGCACAACAGTTGATGGTATGAAACCTTTCATCAGCACTTCAGCCGCACTTTTCTCAGCCGCCAGAATGGGATGATAGTAATCAGAATGAGCCACCATACACTTTTCAAGCATCGGTTAACACTTAATGCCGATACTTTCATTGTTCTTCTCAGCTTCCTTAGCACAATCTTGAAAAGCTGTGAATACAGTTAAACCTCTATAAATTAATAATGTTGGGACTTTGAAAATTTATTAATTTATAGAGATATTAATTTACGAAAGTTTCCTTATTTAGATTTTTTTTTATTTTAAGATATATTTATTCTAAAATAAGAAAAATGTTTTATTTTAGTGTATAGATATTTATTATCATTTTTTGAAATTTGACATTTATATTAAATTTCTTATATTACTTGATATATATAATATATATTTCATAGAATTTAAATATGGTTTTAGATATAATAGTACTAAATCTCATCAAAAAATTATTAAGTGTCAAGAAAATATAAAAATAATTCCCTTGTTATATAAAACAAATATAATAATATATTATTACTATATAAAATATGTAAAAATATAAATTATTAATTTATGATTTTAATGTGACCATATATTTACATAAAACTTTCTAAAAAATTATTATCTTATTATTTTATCGATTTGTGTCAAATTTTGAACCGATCCAAGTTGGGACCAGCAAAATTTATTAATTAAGAGAGATTGTTAATTTATCGAGTATTAATTTATAGAGGTTCTACTGTACTTCTTTGCAAGCACCTCTTTTCATTCAAAAGACTAATATCCCGGCTGGATTTGGTCGTTACGACAAAAGAAGATGTAATCGCGATAATCGGAAACGTAATTACCCATAATGATAGGATCTTTCACTCGGCGAAAAAGGTAATAGAGGAGAGAAGTGTTAAGATCTGAATAAGTTATTAGGTTAGATAAAGGTATATATAGAGCTCTTTTTCCATACACGACTAGGATAAGTTTTATTTTTGTAGTTACAGTTATAGCCTTTATATGAATTCTAATTTGCTTTTAGTTGCTTAACAACAATTCTGTTACTCATATTATACTAGAGCTTGATTCACATATCCATGTGAGATTAGTTTTTACCTTTTTAAAAATGGTTTATTAACAGTTTTAAACATATAGATATAGATTATTAAGATATTTTTAGTTTTCTATGAACTTATTGGAAAATATCATTCAAATCTTGTCTATAAATTTATAATATCTCATCAGAGTAATTTTCAAATAAATAAAAATGATACCCAAAAACCCAATATGTATCAGAACGTGTATTTAAATGTCTATGTTTATCTAATTACGTAAATAAAAAATATTTTTTTTGTTAACCGGTTGAATTCTTGTTCTAATGAAAGTTTTATTCAAACATGAAAGTTATTTAATTATTTATGGTGTCTTGAGGTGATGTTGTGAAGTGAGGGATGGCCATTAGCTTTCAATGGATACTTTATGAATCGAAATATCAAAAAAAGTTACTTTAATAAGATGATATTGCATACAACATAGTTCTTAAAATGATGAGAAAAGAGAACAAGAATGAACATGATAATTTTTATTGGATAATATTGATCTTTCGTTTGATACAAGAAACTAGTGCTCTCCCAACTTTTATAAGTAACCAACGTTCATCATCATTTGCCCATTTAATGTGATAATTGGGAATAATTGTACAGAAAAAAAAATTCTATAAATTTATATAGTCAGAACTATGATAGTAAAATATTAGCTTACAGAATAATCAGTTTAAAAGAATTTCTCTTACACACATGCACTCACACTATATATATATATAGCTACAAATATATGAGATCCTCTGTTTTGGTGTCAGAAACAGAAACATGCTTTTGCAGGAATTTTACCGGTACTACGTACAATTCCAGCTTTCTCCTTCACCTTGAACTCTTCGTTCTGTCTTTGTTTCTCTGCCTGAGCTCTTGCTCCAGCTGCAATCTGTTCGATGTATTCCATGTCTTCTCTGAATCTCTGCAAACCTCTCTTCCTCCTCTGTTCTTGTTCGCTCTGCTGTTCATGCACCAACCGGTTAGAGAAAAAAAAAACCTCAGATAATGAGATTAAATAAAATCAAATCATATAATCAACCTCAGATTTGTCCAGCTTCCTTCTAGCTTTGTCCCTCTTCTTCCCTTCCCACAAATCGATCTTTCTGTTTAACTTCTCGTACCTGCTTGCTTAAAACATATCTTAATGTAATATCAACACATGGAGACATTCATTTTTTTGTGTGTGTGTGTTTTGACTAATGAGACTTACTTTGCTTTGATCTTAGCTAGTTCAGATTTTTCCCAAGCATCTGCTGTAACATCATCTTTTCGACTAGTATGCCCTGAGCTCCGCGTTTTGATTTCACTAGATGGAAGCCGCAGAGGCGAAGGCGAAGGAAGAGGAGGTGGTGGTGGTGGTGGGGCACGAGGTTCTGATCGTGTCCTGGACGATGATTGTTTCCGCATTGGAGATGGCGGCTCAATAACTTGTTTTCTTTGTCTTTCATGTTTCTCCTTTGAATCTCCACTTCGTCTGGTGTGATCTCTATTTGAATCTTGTTCCTTAAATGAAAGTTGTCCTATATATATCAACACAAATGGAAAAAAAATGTAAAAAATGGTTTCTAACATAATCCAATCTTTGATTTGTTCTGTAACTGTCACCTGAGAATCTTCTTGATAAGCTTCTCAGCTCTTCAAAAGGCGACGCTTCTTTTCTACTCTTGCTCCTTGACAAAGAAGCTCCACGTTCGAGACCACTCTGTTTTGGTTAAGATTCCTTATAGTTAAAATATAGTTACTCTCATTAACTTATAGCAAAAAAGTATTTGTTAGAAACCTTACATGATAACTCTCTAACCAAGTTTCTTCAAAATTGGTTATGGCATAAGCAGTGGCTGCAACTGCAGCTGCGTGGTCCATCTCGCTGATCGGGTCATAGCCTTGGTCGGTCATTTGTCTCGAGAACTGCTTCTGTAACCAGCTTGAGGATTTCTTCTTATCTACCAACAACACACATAATATGTTATAAGCCTTGAGGTAAAAATTAATCAAGTATCAGAGATTTGGTCTAACAAGAACAACATATCTGACGCTTGTGTCACCTTCTTTGAATGAAACAGACCTCCTTGCTGGCACTGTCTTCTCTCTTGTGGAGCTACCAACCTCGCCTGTTCTGCCCTGGGAACTTGTATGCTTCCTCCTGAGATAAAATAACAATTTCTTACATCAATATATGTTCATCTATATGTGTTTGTGTAGTTGAATGAAAAGATGAATTTTGAGATTTAGTGATTTACCTTGTTTGCTTGATTAAGCTATCCATTTCAATCTAAAATGTAGTGGGAGAACTTGAGGGAGTTTGGTTAGATGTGTTCGAGGGTTTTGGGTTTTTGAAGGTTTTTTCTTTAGATTATTGCTTTGCATGCAAGTTTCATATTTGGATCATAAAGCTGTGCAGGTAAAGTAAAGAACACTTTTTTCATTCTTTTCCCTCTTTGGCTTTTTGGTTCTTTGCTTTCTCAAAAGGACAGTGAAAAGAACAAAACAGATTCCATTATATTCAAATTTCATATAGTGGATAAACGATTCATTTACATGCAGAAAACACATCAACTACAAACAAGGAAAATGAATCTTAAGAGCCAGAAAACAAGGCGAAATTCATGTATTTATATAAACATTGAAGAAGAATTGTAATATGCATAACTAAACAGTGACGCCTATGTTATAAAGAATGCGTACTATTTTCTGATTCTTTTTTTTTCCTTCTCTAACGTCTTCATTATTTATAAATCATTAACCTGTATTACAAGTTGTTGCATGAAAACATGACATACATGACCGGTCTGAGAGATGCTAAATGAAACATTCGATACATAACTCCAAAAGTTTTGAAGATAATTACACAAATATAGAAGTCTCAAAAGAAAATTAGACTCCCAAATTTTTTTGTACATAGAAATGATAATAAACCCCTAAAATCTCAGGATCGGTCCTAAGGACTTGAATAAAATTATAAACTCCATTGTAACGGATCGAGAGCAACAAACTTGCTTGGCTAAACAGTCAACACACTGATTCGCTGATCTTTTGTTATGAATTAAAACAACTGAGAAGAACATTTGTCGCCACGATCGGATTGACGTTATAAATAGTGTTCTCAACAACAACACCACCCATCACTATTTTCTGATTCTATCACAATTTTTTTCTATTGATCATCTGTTTCATTTTAAATTAAATTAAATTAAATTAAATAATTCAATTTTAATTAATTTCTGTTAAAAATTCAACGATAAATAATTTAAAACGGAGAAACTAATGGTTTCTAAAAATAGCTTAAAATTCCAATGAACCAAATCCAACCAACACAAAAGGAGCGATTTAAACGCTGCCGTATTAAATAGTGTTTAAATCCTCTTTCTCTCTGGCGGGAATCAAATCATCTCTTTTTTTTTTTACTCGCATTTATCGCCATGATTGTCAATTTCTCCATCTTCATCCTCTCCCTCTCTATCTTCACCTCCTCAGCAAACGCCGAGGCGACCCTTTCCGTTTCCCCCACAACTCTAAAACGATCCGGCGACATCGTCAACATCGAATGGTCCAACATCGACTCACCTTCCGATCTCGACTGGCTAGGCATCTACTCACCTCCAAACTCTTCCCACGACCACTTCATCGGTTACAAATTCCTCAACGTCTCAGCCACGTGGAAAGACGGTTTCGGATCGATCACCCTCCCTCTCACCAACCTCCGATCAGACTACACATTCCGTATCTTCCGCTGGACGCAATCCGAGATCGACACCAAACACACGGATCACGATCAGAATCCTTTGCCCGGAACTAAACATCTTTTGGCTGGATCGGAGAATGTGACTTTCGGAAACTCCGTGGATAAGGCGGAGCAGATCCATTTGGCGTTTGAGAATAAGCCTAATAGGATGCAGGTTACGTTTGTGGCTGGGGATGGGGAAGAACGGTTTGTGAGATACGGACAGGCGAAGGATATGTTGGGAAATTCCGCGGCGGCGCGGGGGATTAGGTATGATAGAGAGCAGATGTGCAATGCTCCGGCTAATACCACCGTTGGATGGAGAGATCCTGGGTGGATTTTTCATACTGTTATGAAGAATTTGAACCCGGCTGTTAGGAATTACTATCAGGTAAATAAATCAAATAAGAGATAGACTTATATATTTATCGGAAATTGATTTAAGTTGGAAACATATCTAACTTAATATACTATAAGAGTCGAAAACACAGTAATGCAATTTCATCCATAATCGATCTGACCTAAAGCTGGTTTCGTCGATTTTGGCTCGATATTTTGAATTAGTGGCCAAAGAATCATCATTTCGAGGAAACTTATTAGCTAGATGGGATTTAGATATTAGAGAGATGAATCAATTCATTTACCATCTGTGAATATAGGATTGAAACTTCATCGAACTTAATCAGATGAATGGTAAAATAAACAAGAAACTGAATAAATAAAAACTAAAAAAAAACAATTTCTTGTTCACAAAATTGGAGAATTTTTTTTTTAATATATTCCTTAAGAAATGAGAGGAATGTAGTAGTTCCATATATTATTAAATTGACAAAAAAATATTCTAATGAATAAAATATCGAGTTATAAAAGGTATTTATGTCTTTGATTACATGATTGATAAACCATGTGTTTTATATTTTCTTGGTGTTACTTATATATTGCGGCATCTAAATCAGATTGGGAGTGAAGCAAAGGGATGGAGTGAGATCTACAGCTTCATATCTAGAGATATGTACGCACAAGAAACCAGAGCTTTCATATTCGGAGACATGGGTTGCGCTACACCTTACAATACCTTTATCCGCACGCAAGAAGAGAGTAAATCAACCGTGAAGTGGATCCTACGTGACATTGAAGCTCTTGGTGACAAGCCATCTTTCGTTTCACACATTGGAGATATAAGCTACGCTCGTGGCTACTCGTGGGTGTGGGATGAGTTCTTTGCTCAGATCGAGCCTATTGCCTCCAAAGTCCCTTACCACGTCTGCATTGGTAACCATGAGTATGATTTCCCCGCTCAGCCGTGGAAGCCTGATTGGGCAGCTTCTATTTATGGAAACGATGGTGGTGGTGAGTGTGGTGTGCCGTATAGTTTGAAGTTTAACATGCCTGGGAACTCATCGGAATCAACGGGAACCAAAGCTCCTATGACAAGGAATCTTTATTACTCTTATGATGCTGGATCTGTTCATTTTCTTTCCATCTCCACGGAGACGAACTTTCTTGAAGGTGGGACTCAATACGAGTTCATAAAACAAGATCTTGAGTCTGTGAACAGGAACAAGACTCCTTTTGTTGTGGTCCAAGGGCATAGACCGATGTACACTACTAGCAACGAGGTTAGAGACACGACGATAAGACAAAAGATGTTGGAGCATTTGGAACCGCTCTTTGTGAAGAACGAGGTGACGCTTGCTATGTGGGGACATGTTCATAGATACGAAAGGTTTTGTCCGATAAGCAACAACACTTGTGGGAAACAGTGGAAAGGGAGTCCGGTTCATCTTGTGGTCGGTATGGGTGGTCAAGATTGGCAAGCGAATTGGGCGGTTAGACCGAACCATCCGGATCTTCCTATATTCCCTCAGCCTGAGGAATCAATGTACCGTACGGGTGAGTTTGGGTACGCTCGTCTAGTTGCTAACAAACATAAGCTCACTGTTTCTTTTGTGGGTAACCACGATGGAGAAGTTCACGATACGGTTGAGATGTTAGCATCTGGTGAAGTAATCAGTGGGAGCAAAGATGGTACTAAAACCTCAAATAGTGCAGTAGCTCCTGCACCAGCTTGGGATGTAAACAGTGGGAGTAAAGACAATAGTGAAAGTCCAAACGTTCAGACCGTTCCTACATCTGCAACACTTGTGGGGAAATCTGAATCTGATGGCTCATGGGTTGTCAAAGGAGTAGGTTTGATGGTTATGGGTCTGGTTTTAGGGTTCGTTGCCGGGTATTTTACAGGGATGAAGAAAGGATCGTCATCTCGTAGCCGTTGGATCCCAGTGAAGAGTGAGGAGATATGATATTAAACAAGGGAATTTATTTAGGGGCACGTTTTGTGTATAGTATCTTCTTCCCCACGGCAAGAAAGCATAAGTTTTAGTATGTTATAATAATACTGATTCTTGTAAGTTTGAAGAATCACTCATACGATGTTACAGCCTGAAGGGCTTTTTGGTGTAAATATAGAGTTCATTATTTTTATTTGATTTTGGATTTAGGAAAAATATATATTCTTATACTATAATTTTCTATTAGCATTTGATAAATTTTTGTTTAATTTTTAATATATTTTAAATAAATTGTCTATTAATTATCTTGTGGTGGCATGCATATTCGTTGTTTGTCATTCAACATCGATGGTTACTTCAGCTCACAAACAAAATTAATGTTTGACTCTTTATTTTCTTTCATTTTCCTCACTTTTCAAATTTTCTTATATTTATTTTCCAATGAAAATCTTTTTATTCAATGTGTGTTTTTAAATCAATTATAAATGTTTGTAATCCATCAAAATTTAAAATCTTTAAAAAATTTAAGTTGATAGATTCTAAAATCTTTGTAGTATGCTTTGATTTTGAATTCATTCATTTGTTCATAGGAATCCATAGAAAATGATTTGAAATCAATTCAAAATACAAAAAAAAATTTAAAATCTTTAAAAGTTGAATAATACTAAATTTTTAAAACTTCATTGAATAACACTAGGTTTTAAAATAGAATTTAGAATCATTATTTGAATAACAATGGATTGTATTTAGATTTAAATTCTATTAAAATACATGATTGAATAACATTTCCTTAGTTAGGTGGTTTTGAATAGTAAACCGAGATATATAACGTTTCAAATTCAAACAATATGACATGTAAGAAATTAAAGCAACAAAACATACAATAACCTATGGAAAACGTTATCACTACAAATGGCATACTTTTTTTTTTTTGTCAAACACAAATGACATACTTCTAACATTGTCAAAAGAGAAAACTAAAAGCATTTATAAAACAAGGTTTTATTGAAATAGAAAATAGCTTATTAAAGCTTTTATTGAATGTAAAAGATAAATAAATGAAGAAGCTTATGATTGTCTGCAAGAACTATAATATAAAGATCGATATCATAAAATGGTTCCAAGGAGGCTGCTTTCTCAGCAGCCAAAGTTACATCACAAAGTGACCTTACATAGATATTTATATAAACTCAATATGCTAGAAACCCTAAATACAATGAGCTAATAGGCTTTATTATAGTGTTGGGTTTGTTCTTAAAACACATCCAACTTTTATCTTGTAGACAAATTATTACCTTTAAACTAAAAGTTTTTGGTAAAATGTTAAATATTATACCAACTTTTCAAGTTTGCGACAGAAATTACAAAGGTAACTAGTAGCAGATTGTAGTATTTAAACTAAACATCGAAATCTAATGCGACAAAAGTATCAACCCGCAACATGAGCATAACCAAACCTAGAAACCAGCTAAGCAACGAAAACGAGCACGGACCAAAGCAACCGGAGCTAGTCAAGGACGGGAGTCAGGCACCACGAGCTACCGAGAGAAAGGCGCCCTCAAACCTTAAAACAACAGCTCCTGCAGCTTCCAACTAATCTTCCCAAACCTAATCCGGACAGAGAATCCGAGCACAAACAAATCATAAACACTCGACAGCAATGACCTTTGACGGCACGAGAGAGAACCACCAGCGAAGATGCCGTCGTTCGGAAGGGAAACATGGAGAATGCCGCCTCCAGCCCCACCTACCGTGACCGTCTACACCCATTTAACCGCAATCACATATAGAGAGAGTGGATCGCAAGAGACTAATTCTCCAAAGACCACACATCAAGAGAAATGACCGTTCGATTGTCTCATTACCGCACAAAACGTTGGACAAGGTCAACACCACCAAAGGCGAGAATCACCACATCACTTACCTTATTAAAGAGAGACAGACACAAGGGGAACCAGGACGAAGCGAGGAGACAACCTCCATAAAACACCGGAGCAACCGCTCACAATGGAGCAGAGAAACAAATAAGCTCGCCATTACACGTGCCGCCACACACGAGCCGCCACGTCCTACGCGCGTTGCCACCAGAACACGCCGGAAGAGGAGAGACCCACCTCCGAAGAGTTCACGCACATTCGCCGGAGACCACCAGTAAAAATAAGGGAAGAAGCCCTAGATCCGCGAAATCACAGAGCTTACACGGCTCCGGCTCCAGGGACTCCACCGCTGCAACACCAAGCCGGAAGAGCACACCTGCAACAGATCCGAGCACCCACAACCACCACGCGCTACCACTCAAGTCTAAACACAACAACGCTAAAACAAAACCCATCCGGACAGAGCCTCAACTGACGACGAATAACCAGAGACAGAACCATGTTGCGTCAAGCAGCCGCAGAGAAACAGGGAAAGAAACAAAGAAGAGGATACAGAGAGGCTAACAGAAAAATAAAAAAGGAAAGAAAGCCCGGCGATCGCCTTAGACGATGGCGGCGGCCGCCGGCAACGAAGAGGCTGAACGAAAACCCTAGTTTTAGGAGAGTGGTGAGAGCAAAGTTTTGTGAAATTATTTTTTTTCAACTTGTATATATGTCTTTAAAATTAAAAGTTTTATTCCACAACAGTCATCAGTGCAGCACTAAGGATCATAGTCAAAACCATTTTTCAATTAAAGTTCAAACCAAAGACTTTGTGATAGCTGTTTCAATCGTGTACAACAGAATTACCGTTTTAAATATTATATATATTTATTTTGTATTGTCAGCAATAGCAATAGCATTATATTATTAAATTTTGAAATGTTTCATCAAGATGTGACAAACCCCATTTAAAGATGTGACTCATGCAAACTATAGAAGTAGTATTCATGATCAGGATTTTATAGGGTGACACATCCCAAATATGTAAACTGAATATAGTAATCTATAAATAAAATCAATACTACATAAATAAAATAAGTAAAATTACAAAAGTGATGAAGTGTTGTGATTTTGGATCCCACAAAAAATCTAGCATATTAACCAAATCTACGAATAATTAACATTAACATAAGTGCGTTAAATGCATAATTAACAAAGTTGCATTATGCGACAACCAGAGAGAGCCCCTCTGTATATCTTCCCCATGCATAATGGTAGTTTATCAATTTCCTTTTCTATTGTACGTTATAAATGAACCTACAGAAAATATACTTTTTCCCATTTATCCCCTAAACTGATATATACTTAACATAATCAGTTTATTCATTACATATTTATTAAATCACCTTTCATTGTCCAAAACTCTTAAATCCTCTACATCGCTTTCTTAAGCCATCATCTTTGTTTTGGTGTCTGCTTGGTTGTTGGTCGAAGGTCAAAGTCTATTTTGTGCTTCCCCTAAAGAGCGATCTTAATTAGACTATTCATCATGAAAGTGTTTCTAGGTCTCTTGCTCCTCTTGGCCTTGACAACATCTTCAAGTAAATCTTTATTCTTCACATGTCTTGATCAATCCTTCTTGTTCTATTATCTTAGATCAAGCTTTATTTAAAGGAATGATATTTTCAGTTCTTGTCTCTGTCTCTGTCTGTAGGTGCAACTTACTGTCTCTGCAACGATGGGATAGGAGAGAAAGAGCTTCAAACAGCAATAGACTATGCATGTGGAACCTTAGCAGATTGTAATCCAATCAAAGAAAAGGGTTCTTGTTATCAACCAGTTACCATCAAAAGCCATTGTGATTGGGCTGTTAACAGCTACTTCCAAAACGCAGCTCAAGTCTCTGGAAGCTGCGACTTCTCCGGAACTGCTACGACCAATGAAAACCCACCTTCAAGTAAAATTCACTTACTCTTAAAAGTCTAATAGCTTTGATGACTATAACTGTGACCTTGATGGTCTTTTTTGTGCAGATCTAGCTACTGGTTGCATATATCCTTCAAGCCCAAGGTAATGATCAATTCCATTAACCTAAAAATAATATTATTTACATTAAAATGACTTAGAAAATTTTCCGTGTTTATAACAGCTCTGCAGAGTCCCCTCCTTCAACTACACTACCAACACCACCGACGGGACCAACAGGAACAAATCCACCAAACGGAACTTTTCAGTTTCCGGGTAGTCCTCCACCACCTGCGCCTGGTCCAACCATTACTCCAAGCAATGGTGCTTCAAGTTTGGTCATTTCCTCTGTTTTAACACTCTGTTTCTCATCACTAGCGTTTCTGTGAGGTTCTCATTTTGCCTTGTGTAGGTAGAGACAAAAATAAGCTTAGGCGCCTGTTTTTTTTTTTTTTTGTAATGTTCTTTCATCTATTAAGGTTGCTCTAATTTTTTTTAAGAAAAACAAGAAAACAGAACATAAATCTCAGAGATGGGAATGGAAAACAAATGACCAAGGAAGTGGTGAGTTTATTTGTGATAAAGAGTTATCAACAACAACCTAACAACTCATGTGTTGTGTAAAAAAAAATATACCATTTTTAATTGTATATAAAATAATATTTCATGATCAATCATTGTCCAAAGTAAAGAATCAACTACTGCTTAAAAGAGAATAGTTTGGTAAAAAAAAACACACCTTAAATAATGGTTCAAGATTCTCTCTAAGATATACTTTCAACCTCTTTACACTGGCAAGTCTCTCTAACAAACTCTGTGATCAGTTTAGCAGCAGCAGCGGGTTTTTCAACGTGAGGAAGATGTCCACAGTCTGATATTTGTTTCACACTTGCGTTCGGTAACTCTCCATGTAGTCTCTGCGTTGAAGAAGAGATGACTTTAGGACTAAATAGAACATTATGCATATAGTAAAAGAAGAGACAGCAAAAAAAAAGCTAACCCAAGCGAGCTTGTTGCTAATGATTTGGTCATCCTCTCCCCACACTATCAGCGTCTTCTGGGAAACCTGCAGACTTAATCTTTTGAGTAGCCTGCAGCAGAACGTAAATGCACATTCGTTTCTCTTCTTGATTTCATTGATAAAAGAACTTTTACCTTTTTAATAAGAGAAGTAACGTTGTATCCTCCGCTAATCATAAAACTAACAGCTGCATCTTCCCACCAAGGATATAGACAATGCAAGCGACCAATCTAAGATTTGAGTTTGAGAAAGGAAAATCAGACTGAGAGCTACCTTATATAAGAACTCCTACGAAAAGTGTGTATACCTTTGTCCAGTCCCATTTAGTTTCCAGTGAAATACCATTGAAGCAAAGGAAGTTTGCGTACAACCTCAATGGAACACTCTTGAGTAGATATACCTTAAAAGGATTATATATTATTAGATCATCCTTCAGAACAATCATGAGAAATTATGTATTATAGAATTTAATGAGAACTGCTTACTCCAGCATAAGCTGCTGCTTTGGGTAAAGTTGCCAAGTTTCCTGTACCTTCTGAGTAAACACTTGCGTCCATTAAAACCAATGACTCAACCTGTATAATTTCATAGTTCTTGTCATACTCAATATCTTTTGAACATGTTAAAGCTACTTAGTGGTTCTATAAGTACCGCTTCAGGATGGTTGACAGCAATGTCTATTGCAACAGCAGCACCGAGGCTCGGCCCAACCAAAACAACGGGCCTTCCAATATGAGTCTTCCAAAACTACGAATCACACACAAGAACCCCAAATCAATTCTCACTTCAAAAAAACAGAGGAAACTCACATAAGTACTAACAAACCTTGTAAAAATGCTCTCTTTTAGACGCTACGTCACACGGTGGTAGTTTCTCCAAATCAGAAAAACCCCAACCAAGTATATCAAATGCCCAAGCTTCTAAACCAGCTTCTTCCAACAATGGATAAGTGTATCTCCACTCTAAACATGAACTGTTTCATTTTTTAGCAAAAGAAAAAAAAAAAAACAGAACTGTTTTATTACAAGAAAATATTTAAAAACTCAGCTCAAGAAAACCGCAAATTATTGATTTATTAGTACCTGTCAAACCCGTGAAGAAGCACTACTATTGGAGATAACTCCTATATTAATCTAGATAATGATGTACTTATTTCTTAGTCCTTATCTACGTAGGATCTGACTGCTGTATATATACATTGGCTCTTGCCTTCATAATCAATAACACAAATAACTACTTCAATACAATTTCATGGTATCAGAGCAAACAATCTGAAACCCTAATTTTTATTCTCTTCTCTTTTCTAAAAATCGTGTTTCTTTTGCTACAAGAAACATGGCTGATACTTCAGCATCTCTAACCTCTACGTCTATGGCAACTCTGCCAACTTCTACTCCTATTGATACTACTAGCATATACTATCTACACCCCTCTGACAATCCCGGAGCACTAATTACTTCCGTTCTCCTTCGCGGCGACAATTATTCAGAATGGGCTATCGAACTCTCAAACTCTATACAAGCGAAGCGAAAGCTTGGCTTCTTAAACGGCACCATACCGAAGCCTGAAACAGAACCCGACCTCTCTCGATGGTTAGCTACTAACTCTATGTTGGTTGGATGGATTCGGACGTCTATAGATCCCAAGATACGATCGACAGTTTCGTTTGTACCTGAGGCACACAAGCTTTGGGAAATCCTGCAACTAAGATTCTCGGTCAGGAACGGTGTTCGAATTCATCAACTACGTGACGAAATAAATACATGTCAGCAGCAAGGACAGACAGTAATTGATTACTATGGACGTCTTACAAAATTATGGGAAGAACTCGACAACATCAAGACTACTAGGGCATGTACTTGTGACGCTTCTGCAGACATTGAAAAAGAACGTGAAGAAATTCGAGTTCATAAGTTTCTGTTTGGCCTTGATGATTCCCGGTTCCGAAACATAAGGTCTCAAATTATTAATGAAGATCCTCTACCAGATATCAACAATGTCTACTCCAGAATTATACGCGAAGAGCAACACAACAATACCGTACGGTCAAAGGAACTGAAACCTGATGCTATTGGTTTTACCGTGCAAACTGAACTCTCTAAAACCGATTCACAACAAGCACTGGCTAGCTCGTTTAAACCTCGAGACCCTAATCGCTCCTGTACCCACTGCTCTCGTACAGGTCATGATAACACTGAGTGTTTTCTTCTTCATGGATATCCAGATTGGTGGATTGAACAACGGAACACATCTACTGGTCGTGGTTCTTCTCAGCGAGGGAGAGGAGGTCGTTCTTCTACTTATGGCAATCGTGGTCGTGGACGTTCTAACTCATCTCGAGTAACGTCTAATAACACCACTATGACCTCCCCTACGGCTGCGGATCCTATTGCTCAAATCACTCAGCTTCTTCAGCAACTACAGAATACCAAATCAACAATTTCCACTGAGAAACTATCTGGTAAACCAACTATTGCAGATGTTATTATAGACACTGGTGCGTCACATCACATGACGGGAAATCTATCTCTTCTGAGTGATGTTACAGACATCATTCCCTCGTCGGTCAAATTTCCTAATGGGAGGTTTTCCCAAGCAAAGAAGAAGGGCACGCTTGTTCTAAGCAAAGATTACTACTTATCTGATGTTCTTTATGTGCCGGATTTTAACTGCACGCTTATCTCCGTGTCACGATTACTTAAACAGACCGGCTGCATTGCTATCTTTACTGATACCTTATGTGTTTTGCAGGACCGTTTTACGAAGACCCTGATTGGAACGGGTGAAGAACGTGAGGGGGTGTATTACTTCACAGGGGTCATGGCTGCACAGGTTCATCGTACTGAGGTCAAGAATTCATCAACTTCAGAACTATGGCATCGACGGCTAGGGCACCCTTCTTATCGGATTTTGTCATCATTACCTATTTTAGATCGTTTGGTTTTTGATTCTGAACAAGCTGCGTCTTGTGAAATTTGTTTTCGTGCTAAACAAACTCGTCAAGTTTTTCCTGAAAGTTCTAATAAAGCAGTTGAGCCTTTTTCTTTACTACATTGCGATGTTTGGGGTCCTTATCGGGTTCCTTCCTCTTCTGGTTCACGATACTTTCTTACTATAGTTGATGATTACTCTAGAGCTGTTTGGACTTACTTGATGTTGGAAAAATCTGAAGTCTCTAATCTACTTCGTGAGTTTATCGCTTTATCTGAAAGACAGTTTGGCAAATCAGTTAAAGCTATTCGGACAGATAATGGGTCCGAGTTTATGGTGCTCACGTCATACTTCAAGAATCATGGGATTGAGCATCAGACTTCGTGTGTAGATACTCCTCAACAGAATGGCCGAGTTGAGCGTAAACATAGACATATCTTGAATGTTGCGCGTGCATGTCTCTTTCAAGCTCGGTTGCCAGTGTCGTTTTGGGGAGAGAGTATTCTAGCAGCAGCGCACCTTATCAATCGTACACCGTCTCAACTACTACAAGGACGCACACCATATGAGCTCCTCTTTGGAAAGAAACCGGATTATGATAAGCTTCGCGTATTTGGATGCTTGTGTTATTCTCATCGCAAATCACGAGACAAGGATAAGTTTGGTGATCGCAGCAGGAAGTGCCTCTTTGTTGGGTACCCATATGGAAAGAAAGCTTGGAGACTGTATGACCTTAATACAAATGAGTTCTTTGAAAGTAGGGATGTCGTCTTCTCGGAGACTAAATTCCCTGGTGTTAATAATGACGAGTATGTTACACCTCCTTTGAACGCGTTGGATCCTACTATTGATGACTGGCTTCTACCCTCGCCGGGTTTCAGGGGGAGTGTATCATCACCAACCTCCGCTTCTCCTGCTACTGAACCTGCAACTACGTCTTCTTCGTTACCAGTACCTGTGTCCTCTGTTCCTTCAACGACAGAACTAATAAACTCGAACCCATCTGCTGATGCTACGCCTAGCTCGCCACCGTCTGTACCTCCGGCTACGCCTGATGAAACACAAGCTCACTCTCCTGGAATTCCTGAGATACTTGGCAGAGGTCAACGGCTTAAAACACCGTCAGTATTGTTACGAGACTACGTGACTCACTCTGCTACTGTACACCCCCCTCACTCTCACTTCGCTTCTGATCATGGGTCTCCACTAACGGTCATAGGTAACACACCTTACCCTATTTCCAGTTATATATCTGATCATTTATTTTCAGACTCACATAAGGTGTTTATGGCTGCTCTTATCACTGATGAAGTCCCAAAGAATTTCAAAGAAGCTGTCAAACATAAACTTTGGACAGATGCAATGCATACTGAGGTGGATGCCTTTGAAGCTAATAACACATGGGACGTCACTCACTTACCACCCGGCAAGACTGCACTTCGTAATCAGTGGCTGTACTCGTACAAATACAAAGCCGATGGAACTATTGAAAGACCTAAAGCTCGACTAGTTGTCTGTGGGAATAATCAAGTTGAAGGCGAAGATTTTACAGATACATTCGCACCAGTTGCAAAGATGTCAACTGTCCGGATCATACTAAAGATTGCTGCAACCAAGAACTGGCTTGTGGATCAAATGGATGTTAGTAATGCGTTTCTTCATGGCGATCTGGATGAAGAAATTTATATGCGACTTCCTCAGGGGTTTAAGGCATCTGATCCTCGCATGGTTTGTCGTTTAAAGAAATCTCTCTATGGTTTACGCCAGGCCCCACGGTGCTGGTACTCTAAACTTACGGCAGCATTGGAAGAGTTTGGTTTCTCCCATGAATATGCTGATAACTCCCTATTCTCCAAAGTTCGTGGATCTATTTGTCTGCACATTCTGGTATACGTCGATGACTTTATCATTGCTTGTAATGATGCCACTGCGATGCAGGAGTTCAAAGATTATCTTCAGCGATGTTTCCGTATGAAGGACCTTGGGAAACTGAAGTTCTTTCTTGGCTTTGAGGTGGCTCGCAATGCCTCAGGTTTCTACTTATCGCAGCGGAAATATGCTCTGGATATTATTTCTGAAACTGGTTTACTTGGCGCCAAACCCTCTCCGGTTCCCATGGAACTTAATCACCAACTTGCTCGTGCAGAAGGTCCTTTGGCAAACGCTGCTCAATACCGTCGTCTAATTGGGCGTTTGATATATCTCACTAATACGCGTCCGGACCTTGGATACTCTATTCACATTCTAGCTCAATTCATGCAGAAACCTCTCTTACCACATTGGGAAGCTGCTCTTAAGGTCGTTCGCTATCTCAAAGGCACAGCTGGTCAGGGAATATTTCTTAAAGCCGATGACTCTCTTGACATAAGTATTTACTGTGACGCTGACTGGGGTGCCTGTCCAGTTAGCAGAAGATCTCTTAGCGCCTATATCACCTTTCTTGGTACTACTCCAGTGACTTGGCAAACAAAGAAGCAAGACACTGTATCTCTCTCCTCCGCCGAATCAGAATATCGGGCCATGTCAGTGGCTGTTAAAGAACTGAAATGGTTCAAAGAACTGTTCGACTCCTTTGGTATTCCTCCATCTCGCCCTATGAAGCTCTACTGTGACAGTAAGTCAGCTCTCTATATTGCTGCCAATCCTGTCTTTCATGAACGCACCAAGCACGTTGAAAGGGACTGTCACCATGTTCGCGATGCTATCAAGTCCAAACTCATCAAAACGGAACATGTTACGTCGAAGAATCAGCTGGCGGACATTCTAACTAAGTCTCTACCGCGACCGCTGTTTGAGAGTATACTATCCAAGTTGGCAGTTCGAAATCTCACACTTCCAACTTGAGGGGGAGTATTGGAGATAACTCCTATATTAATCTAGATAATGATGTACTTATTTCTTAGTCCTTATCTACGTAGGATCTGACTGCTGTATATATACATTGGCTCTTGCCTTCATAATCAATAACACAAATAACTACTTCAATACAATTTCAACTACAGGACTTGTCTCTTTCCGCAACAGAGGCGTCACGCAACTACTCATGATTCTATCTTCAGCGAAGCTCACCTACACGTTTCCCACATTACATGATAAAAAACTAACTATAGGTTCTTGATTCTACGTTAACGTGGAAGAAGTAGCACTCACTTTTACGGGGAGCCTCTCGATTCTGGAAGCTAACTTTAGAGCAAACGTGTCTTTGATTCTCTCAACCTCTCTCGGCAGAAACGTCGGAAATTTCTCCGCCGTCACTTTGAACGTCCTTCTCACTTTATATCCCACCTGAAAAACCGGCCGATCAATCCTCGCCGCCGTCGCTGATGAAAGCATCGTCGTGGCAGAGCAAGCTACTCTGCTTTCTTAGCGGTTTGTACTTGATAGAGAAGATCTCACACGTGGCAAGTAACACCAATGAAAAGTAGTTTAAAAAACGCTGTAGTAATCCTACGTGGCATAACGAAATGGGCCTAATGGGCCGTACAGGTCAAAACATTTAATGTACCAGCCAACCCTTTTTACTTCGGTTATTTCAAAATCGATTTTTTGGATCCGCTAATTTGGTTCAGTTTAATTAGAAAAAAAAATCGGTTCGGTTTAAGTTGTGTGTCTCCCTTTGTTTTGAACAGAAGTGTGTCTGTCTCATTGTCTCTAAAACCCTTAGATCGGTGAGAAAATCAGCTCGTCGCCGGTATCTCCTTGTCGGAAAAACCACTCAATCAAAATCCTTTTTCTCCACCTGCCACAAAGCACCGACGGTCAAACATTTCCATGCGGTTATTTCCGCTTCCATTACTCTCACACGTGAGAGGATTAGTCCTTAGAACACCGTCTCCGCGCATGTACGCGGTTCCTTCACTCGCCTTCACGAACTCAACAGTCTCACACTCTGACCAATCCAAAGAAGGTAACTTTGATGATGTTAAATCATTAGAGCTAAACGAAGTCGGGGTTTTACGAGTGTTAACCACCATGAGAGACGATCCTTACCTCGCTTTGTCGTTTCTGAAACGAATTGAAGGAAACGGGGGTTTACCTAGCGTTAGTGCCTATGCGGCTGTGATTAGAATCGTTTGTAGTTGGAGTTTGGATGAGAAGCTGAGCTGTTTGTTTGTGGGGATGATTAGAAAAGGAGAGGAGAAGTGTGGTTTTAGCGTTGTTGATTTGTTGAATGTTATTGGAGACGCTGAAGAGGATGAGAAGTTGTGTTTTTTGTTGTTGAGTAGAGTCTCTAGTGCTTTGGTTAAGGCTTATGTGGAGATTGAAATGTTTGATGAAGCTATTGAGCTTTTTAGGGGGATAGAGGAGTTAGGATGGGATGCTGATGCGTATACTTATGTTGTTGTGGTTAACGCGTTGTTTAGGAAGGGTGATAGTGAAGGAGTAGAGAAGTTTCTTAGGAAGTTGGTAAGCTTAGAGACGAGGAAGCATTGTGTTTTTTATATGGATTTAATTGAAGGGCTCTGTGGGAATGAGATGTCGCGTGTTGGTTATATTCTACTTAAACCACTGAGGGAAGCAAATATCCTTGTTGATGAGAGTGATCTTGCAGTAGCGTATGGGAGAGTGATCAGAGGTTTATGCAATGAGATGAAGTTGGAAGAAGCTGAGAGGGCTCTTCTCGAGATGGAGGAATGTGGGATTGATCCGGACGTGTGTGTTTACTCTGCAATAATCGAAGGACATCGCAAGAACATGTGTTTCTCTAAAGCTTTGCGTTTCTTTAACAATAGAAAGGACCTGCAAGGGAAGAGGATTATAAACCCTGTGATTGCAAGCTCAATACTTCAATGCTGTTGTCAGATGGGGGAGTTCTCGGAAGCTTTAGATCGGTTTGTAGACTTTAGAAACATGAACATACCACTGGATAGATTCTGCTACAACGTTGCCTTTGATGCTTTGATAAAGCTCGGTAAAGTAGATAAAGCTATTGAGTTGTTCAGAGAAATGACGTGTGAAGGTATATCTCCTGATGTTGTCAACTACACGACTTTAATAGGTGGTTGCTGTCTACATGGTCGATGTGTGGAAGCCCTTGACTTGATTATTGAGATGGACAAGGAAGGGAAACCACCTGATATCGTTACGTTCAATGTACTTGCCGGTGGATTCGCTAGGAATGCAGCGGATGCGTCTGATATTTTGAAACTAATGGAAGATAGAGGTGTGAAGCCTTCTTCCGTTACACACAACATGGTCATCCAAGGCCTGATTGTTGCAGGTAAAATAAAGGAGGCTGAAGCTTTGTATCAGGAACATAATAAATCTGGAGGAAACGTGGCAGGTATTGTAAAAGGTTATTGTGAAGCTGGCCGTCTTGATAAGGCGTTTGAACGGTTCATTAAAGAGGAGTTTCCTCTTCCCAAGAGTGTATATTTCACACTATTCACTAGTCTCTGCGCCGCCAAGGATAAGAATCACATAGACAAAGCTCAAAAGGTAGTGGAGAGAATGTGGGAGCTTGGAGTTGAGCCTGGGAAGAGCATGTATGGGAAGCTAATCGGTGCTTGGTGTCGAGTTTCCGATGTGGGGAAAGCCGAGAAGTTTCTTAAAGCTATGAAACGTAGAGAGATAACCCCTGATTTGTTCACTTACACAATCTTGATTAAAACCTGTTGTCGGTTAAACAAGCTGGAGCAGGCAGATGATTTTTTTAGAGACATGAAGAAGAGAGGAATCAAACCTGATGTGGTAACATACACAGTTTTAGCCAAGAACAATCCGAAAATCGATAAAGACATGAAAGCATGTGATGTTAAACCAGACGTTTTCTACTACACAACCATGATCAACACATACTACCGGTTAAACAACGAGAACAAGGCCTGTGCCCTCGTTCAAGAAATGAAGAAGGGAGGAATCGTACCTGATGTTGTAACATACACAGCCTTGATTGACAACTATTACCGGTTAAACAACAAGAAGAGAGCGTCTGATATTTTTCAAGAAATGAAGAGGAGAAGGATCTTGCCTGATGTGGTGACGTACACAGTTCTTCTCAACCACAACCCTGAGTTGGATAAGAAGAAGGAAATGAAAGCTCTTGGGATTAAAAGAGACGTTCACTACTACACGGTTTTGATTCATCACAAGTGCAAGATTGGTGAAGTTGAAGAGGCGAAAAGGATATTCCAAGAAATGAAAGAGAGTGGAGTGAAGCCTGATTTTGTGTCTTGCACAGCACTAATAGCTGGTTGTCTTAGGAATGGATATGTATTTGATGCTGACAAATTTCTGCAAGAGATGAGGGAAAATGGGATTGAGCCACCAACTGAAACTGCTTCAAAGAGTGTAGTACTGCATACCAAATCTAAGCCCAAGAGATTTGTATCTCGACAACGATCCAAGAAGCCTATATTGAGAAGCTCAGGTGAGGTACAGAGTTCACTGTTGATCAGTTGAAAATAAAACAATGGGATCTGAATCGGTGTAATGTGTATGTGAGTTGAACTGTTTTGGAGAACTACTAGTTCAGGGATATATGTAAATTAGATAAGATGTTCTAGTATTGTATAGACATGATTCTTTTGTATTAGCTAACCGAACTTGAACCAACGTTCCGAAACCATATCACAATTCCGTAAGATTCATTACCCAGCAGAAATAGAGGTTGATTGGAATGAGCGGTAGCTTTATATTTTTTGCTGTAATATATTATAGCTGTAGATTTTCTTTTGCTGTGGCTGTAGATAATTTAACTGTAAGCTTTTAGCGGTAAATTTAAAAAGTTTAATCATTTACATATAAATTACTAAAGCAAAAAATAAATGATCTAGGTTTATTGTTTTCCACAGCCAAAACTAAATAAAATGGAAAAAAAAATCTGTGGCTTTAAAAAATCTTTTTAAAGCATGATTGGAAATTCTTTTTGCTTTAGAAATAATTTGGACTGTGGAAAGCTTCTACAGTTCTTCTAAAGCATTTGCCAATCATTCCCCTAAATGGAGGAATTTTATCATACTCATATTAAAGTCATAAACCAAATACATGATCCAAGATCTCACCTTAATTACTCTTTACTCTTGGTGGTAAAAAATCATAAAATAACACTTATTCATGATAAATAAGAGTATCAAACACTTGAAGCATTTTTAAAAGTTTTGAGCACTCCAAAAACAACTTGAAAACCTTAATTTTGAAAGTTTTGTACATTGAATTGAAACGTCAAATAAGATTTGGCCACTACAAAACCTTATATTTGAGATTCATTCCTTACATGTATGTTTCTTTCAAACATTCTTATCCAATCTTTTTCATTTATCATTTTAATCTTTAACACTTTCATATCTAATTTTTCTTACATATATTATATAATTTATATATCATATATAAAGTAAAAATATTTTTACAAAAATCATAGAAAAATAATAAAATGTGAAACAGATTTATGTTTTTTTTTTCATTTAAGGAGAAATATAATTAAAAATAGAGATATAAAATTTGGTTTTACATAGTTAAAAATCACAATTTAAGTTTTATTTTGTATAAAATAAAAAGTTAACTATGTTTTGCTTCAATAGTAATATTTTTACAAAAATTAAACTATAAAATTTAAATTTAGGCTACCGTTCAAGAAAAATTTGACAGTTTGGAGAACGTTTTGTAACTTTATTAACCTCCTCAAATATTTCTGCATCTGGGACAAGTAGAGGATGATTTGTGAGACTCAGTGTGAGTTTCTTCAGGACTACAGCGTTTTCAAGAAAGTAAGTGGTTACTTTCATCTCCCGTTCCCCCCACACAAAGATATTTTTAAGCTGAACAAACTCGAGGGTCGATAAGAGGCACCCAGGCACATTTGTGAGTTCGTATACATCCTCCAGGCACCAACTATAATAAACTTCCTGAAAAAAAACACACAAAATGGCTGAGTTTTCAGTAACAAACATAGACAAAACCCACAAGTGTTATTAAAGAGATTTTACCAAGGTTAGGTGTTTCAGATTGGGGCAGCATTCAAGAAAGGCTGGTAGAAATTTTAAAAAATTGCTAGGGAACATGGCTTCTAAACGTGACAAGTTGTTGAATTTTGGAATCAGACCTACTTTCGAGTAAAGCTCAAGGGCCTGCAACATAATACAAGTGTTAAGTGAGAGGTTTTTAATTAGGGAAATTCTCTGGAATATATTTTTTAAGTTTTTATCAAAAAAATACATATGAAAAACTAAAATAACCAAAATAGGTTTCTTATGTTGAAAATTTTAAGTTTTTTTTTTTAAATTTGAAATCTTATCCCAAAAACTCCACTCTTCAACTTTAAACAAAAATCTCTAGGATTAGTTAACACAAAAATATAAATATATATTTATTTATTTTTGATAAAATATTTAAATATATTTTGGTCATTTTTATTTTTAATATCTATATTTATGACAAAAAAAAATTTAGGTGTGTATCCTAGAGAATTTCTCTCTTATAATTATACAAAGTCCATGAACTGCTGTCTACCTCGACTGTTTTCATGGAGATGATCATATGTCTGACACTAGATATCCCAGAGAGTAAGACGTCGCCAAAATACTTTGTCTTATTGACACCAAAGTGGATATCAAGACCAACCGTGAACAAAGAAGTCCCTTTATGTACCACAATGCTATCAAAATGATCTTCTTCGAGAGTCAAATGCTCTAGCCCTGGAGCATCAATCTCAAGTGTGCATTTCACTAACCAACTGGAATTATTTACATACCAGGGAGGAACACAAAACCTCTTCAAGCTCCTTGACCTCACGCGCATGAATCTATCAACCTCACCCACAAAACTAGACTCCATATCCCTAAACAAGCTCAGCTCTTCAAGAACTGGACATCCCGACACGAGTTTCTCAAGACTCGTGTCATCACGAAAGTGAACTTCTACAAGAGTCATGGATTTAAGACAAGGCATACAAACAAAACCAGGATCCTCAATGCCCGAATTCGTTAGCTGTAAGGTAACCAGTGTCTTGCATGTGTACAAATTCAGAGGCATGAATTCGACATGATGAGAATGGAATTCAGTACAAGTCTCAAGTTCTAGATGTTGAGGTCCACGTTTAATCACTGTACTGATCCGATCCTTGAGCCCCTCTATCTTCCACCTAGGACACCCCACCTTAACTTTTAGCAGGCGTGTTGCAGTGTCAAATTCGAGGAGTCTATCAATGAAGCTGAGGATCACTTTGTCAGCTCCATAAGGGAAGTCCGAGTGGATTAAGTGAAGAGCTGGAACACTTAGCCACAGATTCTTCCATCTCCTTGACAAGACGCTAGTCTTCACAGAGTGTTTGGTAGGAAGGTTTGAGAGTATATGAGTCAGCAAAGCATCCGGCAGCTCGCTGATCCTATCGCACCCTAAAGAGCATCAACAAAACAACAACAACAACAACATATATTTAAAAAGGACACATCTTTGGAGATGGGTTTCTCTCTAATTCAGACTACAATCTTGGTTTCTGAAAAACTTACCAGAGAGTTGATTCGCCGGAGGATTATTTGCCATAGTGAGCGGTAATGAAAGAGAAAAGAGGAGAATGTTTTTTTTTCTTTGGTGAAACGAAACTTATCATTTAGGTATTTATATACGTTTGTAGCAGCTCTAATTCAGAGGCTTTCAAATATAAAGCTGTCTTTATCATTTATCATCATGAGATTTATTTAATAGAAGGATCATTATTTTTGATATATATCCACTCATGGTCTATTACTGACAACTCATGCAGATTAATAAGAGTATCTTTGGAGAAATATATATTTCCATAATCAAAATGAATTTTTTTTTTGGTAGATATGATTTCCAAAAATGTTTATTTTCTTCTAAATTATAAAAGCAACAAAAAGGAAATATAATGATAAAGATTTGGTTGATAAATTGCATTTAATATTCAGATTTATTTCTTATATATATATATATATATGTATTATATCTATATTATTATTTGCGAAATAATTTTTAAACTCTAACGTTAAAAATTTTAGTAACTAAAGTGGTCGTACTTAATGAATAATTATTAATTAACTTTTTAGTTTAGATAGAAATTAATATAATAAAAATTAGCCAAAATTAAAATAAAATCAATAATTTTAAAATTTGACATAATAAAGTCAGCCAGAAAATTTATTTTACAATCAATAATATTACACATATATTATGTTGTTATCAGAAATCTTTTAGTGTATTTTAAAATAAAAGATAACTTTTATAAATCTACTACTAGACAACTCATGCATACTAATAAGAGTATCTTTGGAGAAATATATATTTCCATAATCAAAATGGCTTTTATTTTTTTGGTAGATATGATATCCAAACAATGTTTCAAAATTCAATTATTTTTAATTATAAAGCAACAAAAAGAGATAATAATAATAATAATAATAATAATAATAATAATAATAATAATAATATAATAATAAGCATTTAGTATTCAGATTTTATTTATTATATATATATATATATATTATATATGTACTATTATTTGCGAATCAGTTTTAGCTTTGAACTTTCATGTTAAAAGTTATAATAACTAAATTCGTTACTACTCTTAATGAATAATTAAATCTATTGTGACAATAAAACTAACGATATCATGATACATTCTTATTTATATAAAATATATATACATATAAATTATTAATGTATAATTTTAGTGAGACCACACATTTACATAAAATTTTCTAAAAAATATTATCTTATTATTATATCAATTTATGTCAAATTTTGAACTGGCTCAACTTGATATCAATTAAATTAATTAATTCATAATGATTATTAATTTATCGAATATTAATTTATAGACGTTCTACTATATATCCATTCATGGTTTAGTACTAGAAAATTCATGCAGATTAATAAGAGTATCTTTGGAGAAGTATATATTTCCATAATCAAAATGATTTTTGTTTTAGAGATATAATTTAAAAATAAAATAGAATAATATTTCAAAATTTGTAATGTTATATTTGAATATATTTATTTTAACGATGTTGTATGAGTTATTACCATATTTTAATTTTTTTTACCATAAATAGATATCAATAGTATTAAATGTAAAGTATGTGTAAGTATGTGTTATTATCATATTTAAAAAGTTTATCAAATATATATATCAACATTACTTATTTATGTCATATTTTTCTATAAGTCATGTCATCAATTTAGTAGTTATATCACATTTTTCTTTTTGAAGATTGTAAAGATGACATGTGGATATATAAGATACTATATAAGAAACTAATGATTTTACAATTCGAAATTTATATTTTTTGAAAATTGTAGTAATTTTTGAAACTTTTGTGATACAAATTGTATAATATAAAAAAGAAAATAGAATACTATCAAAATGTGTAGTGTTATATTTGAATATATTTATTTTAAAGATGATGTATGAGTTATCACTATATTTTAATTTTTCTACCAAAAAT